TAGCGAAGTTATTATACTTCTCAAAGTTTCCTGTCAAATTAATTTAATATCACCTTAATCACACTGCTATTGAAGAACTAAATAACACAATGTATTAAAATCTAGGATAATTCCTGACAGATTACAAACAAGAGCTATTATTACGAGTACCCTTTGTTTTAAGAAAATGACATGGTTAAGCTTATATCAGTGACGATTTCATTGCATCTGTATAAACTGGTTGTTTCCAAATGTGATTAATTACAAGTTTTACTCACTTTTAGCAAGCAGATAGGCCATTTCCAAATAAAATCTATCCAAAAGCTACTGCTGAGTTTCAACTATTTAGTTCAGTACTCAGACAAACAAAGCATATCCTAGATAAGCAATACAAATAAATGCTTCATGCCTGAACAGACAACTGAGGATTTTTTTTTTTACAATTTTCCACTGAGAATGAAGGCAAAGAAAAGCTTTGCTCAAAAAAAGAAGAGTTGCTTGTCATTTGACTTTTTCTATCAGGTAATTATGTAAAGAAAACCTAAAATTAAAATCATATTTAAAATCAAAATGGTTTAGAAAGATTCTAGTAAAAAAATTTTTGGAATCTGCAAAGGACAATCATTAGTAGAAAGCAACATGAACTCCAGTTCTCTCATGGGCTTAATAAAGCATATTGTTTCTTCAGCTCGCTACTCCATAAGGCATTGTAACTCTGGAGGGAAAACCCAAGGGCAAAATACCTTTGAAACGGAAATCAGTCAAAGGAAGAAACAGAGTGCGAGGTTGATTGCTTACAAGTAGTCTACTTCTTCTCCTCTGTGTCTCTCTGAACTGGCTGCAGAAGAGACCCCCACGCAACCTCTCTAGTCAAATAAACCCTCTTTCACCCTTGTAATTACCTATTGATATAGAGATGGACTAATTCTCTCCACCCCTTGGAAACACCTATTAATATGGACATGCACTAAAGGGATTGAGGCTAGAGATTGTGGAAATACTTCAGTTTCACCAAAAAGCCCACCCATCCAAAAATCTCGCCTCACAATCTACTCATTCCCCAATTCCACAGTGGCCCCTGTGCGAGAAAACTAGAGCATTGTAACCAGGCTAATAACATAAAATAGCAAAAACAATAAAGTCATGATAATCCTTAAGCTGGAAGATTCAACTAGGTTCAAAGTCCTATGCAGATTAAGTCCATAGCTGGCCCATTCCACAGGCAGTCAGTAGCTGAACAGGTAGGGAGTTCAGAACAATCATCATGCTGTGGCAATTGCAGCCAGGGGACAGGTCCAGGCCACAGGGGCTGTAGAAGAAAATAACCTTAAGGGCAACAAGAAACATGTTTTAATGACACCAGCATACGCAAATTTTGTCTATCTGGTAGGAATGCCTGCAAGAGAGTGGTCCTGTGATATGACAGTGGCAGGAATGGAATCTCATCCTGGTGTAGTACACCAGACTTTCACATCCTCCCTGTGAGAGTTACAGATGGGTCAGTATATTGGGCTATGGGAGGTACATGCACTGGCCATAAAGATAGAACAAAACTTCCCCAGTAAGATGCTCTTACCTCCCGGACATTTTCAATATACTACCATAATCTCTGGGGGGCACTCTGCTGTTACTCCAGGAATACACAAGAGGCCAGCTTGCAGGCCTTTTCCCCAGCCATCACTAGTCCATTTGTCAAAATTTCCAGGGCCACATCCACTAAACAGTCTCCAGGGTTTAATGCAGTTGGGACTGACAGCAGGATGTTGCTTGCTGGCCATATCCTAGCTTCAGTGATTCCTCTTTGGTTTGCATATACAGTTGTATAGGAGAGGTAGCAATGTGTGTTAGCATCTCCACAGGGCTCAAGGCTCCTTTTTGGGGCTTCTAATTTAAATGCCATAGCACAGTCGATAAATGGCCTGACCAACCCCGTCGACTATTAGTGCCTGACTTTAGGCCAGATTTCAACAAACCACTGTACTTCTCTATCATGCCTGCCCCAGTAGGGTTATATAGTACATGAAATTTCCATTTTATTCCTAATTGCTGCACCCAATGTAATGCATGTCCAGTAACGTGGGTGCCTTGATTGCTCTCAATCACCTGCGGCTGGCCATAGGCCGCAGAGAGATTCTGTAGGCCCCTCTTGGTGGTTTGCTGACCTGCATGACATGCAGGAAAAGCAACTAACAAACAGGCCAGTAGCCACGTCCACACAAATCATAGCATACTGATAGCCTTCTGCTATAGGCAGAGGCCTGATACAGTCTAACTGCCACTGTCTAGGGGTATCAGCTCTTTTACTATTGCCCCATGTTGTTGCAGGACTTGGTGTTAAGTCCCTCTAAGAGCACACAAGGCACTCCTTCCAGGCTCTGCTGACTTTTTCAAACCCCACCGAAGGGCTACAGCCCACATTCTCTTTTGCTCCAACCCTGATGTAACTACTGGGCCACATCGGAGGCAGGCTTTCCTTCTAGCCAACGCACCTGGGCCAATTTGTCTGCTTCATCATTCCCTGGGGATGCCAAAGGCAAATGGCCAGCCACATGATATACAGTAACTGTCTTAGTCTGACTAGAGGCCCATAGATCTTGCCACAACTCTTGCCACCAAAGAGGCCAGTGACCAACCATCCAGTCGACATGGTACCATGTCAGTAGCCACAGGGTCAAGCCCCAATAGAGGACCCAGCTGTCAGTGCAGACAACTATCGGGGAGGGCTCCTGGGTGATCACAAGCCATACTGACTGCAACTCAGCCCAGTGGCTGTTCTTCCCCTCTCCATCCTCCATCCATATTGTCTCACTCTTAGAACGGAAAGCCACAAGCCTCCACTTCAGGGGCTGCCCATGACTGGAGCCATCTGTATATGAAGCATCTTCAGGTATAGGGGTTTTTTCCTTCCGATAAGTATTCTCGGCTACCAATGGTTCAAAAGCAAGTTCTTCCTGCTTTCCACTGGTATGGTCACCTGCCCCAATAAGCACTGGAGTTCTCCACTTAAGGTGCTAGTAGACAGGGCACTATGCTGCTGTAAATATGCACTCCATTTGGCCAGTGTATGTGTCAGTGCCACGCTATTGCGTGGCCTTTGGGTCCAGTCTACACCCATCCCGTGATGGGATAGGTAGTTATTACTTGGTCTGGGCTCTTCCAGTAATGGGCTCCATAGTCAGCAAGATGTGGTACACAGCCAGCATTGGCTTCTCTATCAAGGTGTACTGTACCTCTGCTCCTTTCCATAGTTGTGACCAGAATCCAATAGCTTGGCACATCCATTCAAGCCACTGCTGAAGGCCCCCATCCATAACTATCTTTGGCTACATGAACATCTAGCTCACAGGGCCTTGATGAGCCCATTACTCAAGGCCTGTATGGCGTTGACTGCTCACTTAACAGCAGTAAAAGCAGCTGCACATGTTTCATCCCAGTCTCACCTGATGCCATTTCATACCAACCAGTATAAGGGCTTCAGAATTTGTTTCAAGTTCAGGATAAATACTCTCCAGGTGCCCATAACATAAAATAACATAAAATATGACTGTTTCTGGGATAACTTTTGTTTTACCTGACCAGACAACCCCTAAGAATTTTACAAACAGATCCCTGAATCTTGGTGCTGTTCACAGCCCATCCTTTCTCCTGTAGATGGTGCAGCAGTCTAGGAACTGCCCCTTCTAAATCTGCAAAAGAATCAGACGTGAGCATGATACCATCAATGTAGTGATACAGCCGCACAATTTGCAGTTTCTTCCATGTGTCCAAGTGCTGAGCTACAAGTCCATGACAAATGGTAGGGCTGTGGAGGACAGTGATTGTACACTGCTGGCCTTCCCACGTGAAGACAAACTGTTGCTGGTGTCTCCTCCCTCACTGCTAATGTATCTTGCAGGAGCACAACCTGTCTTCTCGATAACTGTCTCTCTTTCTTAAGGGCATCCCACAGGTCATCACCCAGCTCCGCCAAGCCATGCTGAAGTGTGTCTCTCTCCTGCTGAAGTCTCTCTCTCCTCAATAACACTTTCCACTATCTCGAGAAAAAGATATCCCACAATCCCAGCTGCTACATGGCCATTCAGGGTCTCTAAGCAGTCTTCTGTCTCACGGAGGGCTAATTCCACAGCTTCCAGTGTCTGTACCCTTCCCTAATTCTGGGGAAGGCCCCACCCATCTAGGAGGTGCTTTAGCCTAGATCAATTCCTCACTACAGCTCCCTAATTGGTAGTCCCACATACAGGGGGCTCCCAAGTGAAGCTGCACTCTTTACTGCTGCAGCCACTGATGCCTCCCCACCATCCACAAGGGGGTGTTCTCATCATCTCCCCACCACTTCTAGGGGCAGCCCGCCCAGTGGTTGCAGCCATGTAGACAGATTTCAGATTGAGCAGTCCTGCCAACTACCCTACCACCAGATGTATCTCCAGGGGGAAATCCTGGGGCAAAATACCTTTGAAACCTGAATCAGTCCAAGGGAGAAATAAAGTGGGAGAAATCCATTTATTTCTTATAAACAGTCATCCACTTCTGCTCTCCTGTATCTCCTGCAACCTGGCTACAGAAGAAGGGACCCTGTCCAACCTCTCCAGTCCAGATATGCCCTTCTTGTCCTTGTAATTACCTATTGATATGGATATGGACTACTTCTCTCCACCCTTTGGAAATACCTGCTGATATGGAGATGCACTAAAGCCAGGCAAGAGATTCTGGAAATATTGCAATTTTACAATAATTTCCAAAACATTCAGTCTCTAATAGGTTTTCTGAATGTATTTAAGACAACCTTTTACAAAGTGGCAAATGGAGTACCTGTAAATTTATTTTTAGCCTATAAATTAGTTCTTTCCAGTATCTATTTTTTTAATTTAATTTTATTTTGTAATTTTTAATATTCCATACAATCTTAGTTTTAAAAGGAATTTTCATGTATCTAGTTGAAGCTAATAACCATAGCACAAATATCCACCAGACTGTAACTCATCTCCTCCTTGCATTTTCTGCATCCATGTGGTATGACACAGGCCAAGGTCTTCCATGGGGCTACCTGAGGATCTGCTGAAAGACCCAATTTTCCTCTTAAGTTGGTCCAAAGAAGGTAAGTAGTAAGCTCATTTTAAAGGCTTTGATAAAGTTCGATCCCTTTCAACTTTTCATTTGATTCTAGTCTCAATGGGGAGAGTAGGATATTAAATGTTTCCATCATATATTAATATTGGCACATAGACAAGGGAATCCCAAAATATATATGCACAAGGAAATGTATGTGAAAATGTGGGTGAAGACATTTTTGTGTCCTTTTGTGCCTGCAGCTGGTGGTGTATTTGTATGTATAGACATGGTAATAATGTCTTTAACCAGCCCGGGCTAAGCAGAACTTTGCATCTGAGTTTAAGTTAGCATGGCCTGCCCACAGGGTACTGCAGGAATGGCAGAGGCATTCATTAAATTATTGAATTTTTTTTAAATGTCTTTTAGTTTTTTAGGTTTTTGTAGACATTAATTAGTAGGGAGAATTTGTGGTGGTTGTTTCTTCTGTCTGGTTTCTCAACAAAGACTACAAGCCAGAGAATTAAACTGAAAAGTGGTTGAGTTCTGAATAGGTCTTAAAACATTAGTGTGTGCATATCTAGCCATTAAGTTGTTATATCACTCTTAGATCAACTGACCTAATTCTCTCTCTCTCCCTTTCAAAGAGCAGCTCTAAGAGTCACATGACTTGTTCAAAGGCATCTAGAGTCACAGTCATAATATGACCTCAAGCAGCGTCTGGGATTGAGAAGTACATAAATCTAATCAAAGCTATCTATAGATGTCAAAGTTTTATCTGAGTTCAAAAAGGATGGCCAGTGGATTTTATCAAGTAAACAGATAAAGAAGAGTCAAGCTTCTCATTATTTTGGGCATAAATCACTTTTTAGAATGAGACAGAAGAAAAACTCAATGGGATTATTACAAATCCAAAGGCCTAAAGGGATTTAAAAGGCCTATTCCTCAAACACTTTGTTCATGCTCAAGAAGAACTAAATTGGTTTTAAAAAGATGATATACTTACAATTAAACTAACAGTGGGAGAATTAAAAATAAATAAAAAGAGATCATGTAGTGAAGATGGAAGAAGAAAGGGACTTCCTTAAGTTCACTCTTAGAAGCTAGACTAGACAGATATGAAAAAAGAAAAAGGAAATCTATATACTAGAACTATGTGCTTTGAAAGATGGAATTAACAGGGAAAGGTACTTTAGTTGTTACTCATTAGAAAGGAAGGGTGACTTGTTCCAAACATACCTAACAGAGGGAGGAGGTAAGTGTAGGATGGAAATTTTGGAGTGAACCAAACTGGAGAGCCACCCATGGCAAGATACTCTTTTAAAGCAATAGTCTATAATAAGAACATGTGAAAAACACACTTTGAATATACAGTAACATAAAATCTGTACAGATTTGAAAGGTAAAAAAAATATCTGAAGGATTCAGGTGCATTTCAAATTACTCGTTATTACAAAGGCCAATATATGGTATGGTATGGTACAACAAAGGGAAGTGCCCCAGGAACTCAAAGACAGGACTCAGAGAGTGAAAAAGGAAAAGCAATACTGCAGAAAAACAAAATAAGAGAACAGTACTACATTTGATGTTGAGCTGTTAAGATTTTAAGTCAGGGAAATGAGAGTGGACAAAATCTGTCTGATGATGCTTTTTGATGAACTAAGAATTCCTTGACTTTCATCTCTGACATCATAGGAGAGCTTACAAGAGACAATCAAAGAATATTGAAACGAGGGCCCAAAAACAGAAAGGAAGAAAGGAGAGGCCAACTCAAGAGTAGGTTAAAATATAAACAAAAACAAAAACTAGCTGTGTTTATCTGAAATAGCATATCCTACTATTGCAGAAAGAAATGTGACAAAAAGGAACGTTTATATTGTCAGTGAAGCAGAACAAATTTCTCAAGGCCTAAAACAGTTAAAAGCAGAGTATTACAAGAGGTCTAGAGAAGCAAGTGGCAGAAGAGATACTGAGTTCACTGGGCTCCTGAGTACAGACATCAAAAAGATCAAAAGCAGCTTCATTTCAGGAACCCATTTATTTTTATTACCCAAATAACACAAATATGGAGCACAGGAGTGCTTTTATAAAAGATTTTAGTCCAACAGGCCTAAGAATTTCATGGGGAGTGGCAATAGCCAAGGTAGCACAGGACTAAAAATGTCCTGGCACAAGACTGGGGACAGAGAAATCCAGAGGCATGAGCAGAACATTGGGGCTGTGGAGACTGCAAGGTTAGGTTCATGGGCTGTGGAGACTGCAAGGTTAGGTTCGTGGAGACTGCAAGGTTAGGTTCATGGAGATTGCGCTTTGAGCTTTACACAGAACAAATGGTACACTCTTTACAAGAGGCAGTAAAGATGCTGTGCCACTAAATAAAATCCAATTACTGCAGCAAAGGAATGACCCAGGACAACACAAAGGAAATGGAAATTAAAAGCTTTTAATATGAAAGAAATCTAAAGGAAGAGACATAAAGTACAACCTGGTACCTGGGGCTGCCATCCATGGAAATCTGTAAACATTACAAGGCAGAAATTCAAATACAACTTTCAATGAAGTAGAATGTTCAGGTAAGTGCTCCCACTCCCACCACCCCCACTTCCCCAAATGGTAAACATACAGTGGAACAATTAACCACTTGATGAATTTTCTCAGTAAAACTTAAGTACAAGTTATTGACTGAAAGTTTGCAGAAATGATTGGCAGTCTGGTGCAGTTGAAACCAGGATTGACTTGGTAACCTGTCTTCTGTGCAGCCACCTTCCCTCTAATATCACTAAATCCTACTGGCAAAAGTAATGTGACTCAACTGTATACATTAAGTTCAAGGAATTATTAGTGATTCTAAATGTAATGAGTGTTGGGCTGTGCAGAGTAATATATGTTTGCCCTTCTGACCTGTATTCTTAAAAAAGGAAGACACAAAAGAGATTTGAGGTTAAATAATTCTCCTCCAAGAGGCTAAAGAAGCCACTCCAAATCAGATGAAGACAAACCAAGCTACAGCTCCTGAAAAAAATCCCAGTCTAACCATAGAGGCACACAAGAAATCCACTGGCTCTGATTAATCAATATCCCCTGGAAGGAATGAATTTGGGATCTTAATCTCTTTGGGATCTAGACTCTAATTTCTCTTTGTGAAACTGATAATGAGAGGCAGTTCCTTTGATCACACTTGATATATTATTGTTTTTCTTGACATTTGGTCCCCTGTCCCCAAATTAAAACCTGAAAGGAAATTTGAAACTTAAAAACTACCATAAGTAATTAACCCTAGGCACAAAAGCAGCCTTTACTTAAAAGCTTTAGACTTTTAAGTGCTGAAGCATTGCTAAAAAAAAAAAAAGTGGTGGGTTCTTTATTTCAAAAAACTTTTATCATCAGCTAACTGAAAAGGCATTGTTCTTAAATGGAGGATGAGTATCCTCAAGACTAATAAAAATGTCCATTATGGCTAATGATTAACAATTTCTGTTCTTATTCATTTTTTTTTCTTAAGAATGCACAATTCTTCAAACCCAATAGTCAAACCCTACTGCTAATTTAGATTCCTTAATTTTTCCTTCTACCATGTACTGTTAATACTACCACCATATACCCATTTAGGCTAGAAACCCAATGAAATTCCTAAAATTCTTTACACCTTGCCTGCACATTCAACTCTGTCTTAAATACTTTATTTCCATATTTCTTGAAACTGTTCTTGTCTCTCCGTTTTCATTGCTACTACCTAGCTAGGTCTGCAATCACTCCTTTTCTGAAATACGCCAACAGCTTCCCTTTTTGTCTAGGCCTTCATTATCTCCTCTCAGTCTAAAAACAGTATTTTTAGATTATTGATGACATTGCTTTGCCCATAAATCTACAGATCTTCCTACAAAATTCCAACTCATAAGCCAAGATCTGAACCAATCCATTTTTCAGTCTTAATACTTACCTTAGTATATGTTCTAGTCCAGTGGTACTCAACTATTAGTAAGTAATCATCTCTAAGGCTTGTAAAACACAAATTGCTGGGCCCCAACCCAAATTTCAGATTCTTGTAGGTCTGGGATGAGGCTGAGAATTTGCATTGCTAATTCAGGTAACCAGTTCACACTATGCTCTCACTGCTGGTCTGGGAAATCAAACTTTTAAGAACCACAGCTCTAGAGGAGGAGAACCAAGATGGCTGTGTGAGTAGAGCAGCAGAAATCTCCTCCCAAAACCATATATATTTTTGAAAATATAACAATCCAACTAATCCTAAAAGAGAGACCAGAAGACACAGGATAACAGCCAGACTACATCCACACCCACAAGAACCCAGCGCCTCGCAAAGGGGGTAAGATACAAGCTGCAGCCTGGTGGGACTCGAGTGCCCTTCACCCCAGCTCCTGGCAGGAGGAGATGAGTTGGAGTGGGGAAGGAGAGAGAGCCCAGGACTGCTAAACACCCAGCCATAGCCATCCACACCAGAGCGCAGACACAGTGCGTGCGTGGGGTGCTGGAAACTAGGGAAACAGGACACTAAGACCTGTGAGTGGGTCCCGCAGCTGGCACCCGCAGGACAAAGAAAAGCGAGTGCTTTTTGGAAGTCTTAAAGGGACAGGGACCCCACAACTGGACGGAAGTGCCCCCAGAGCACACAGCCCAACAGCTGGGAATCACGGGGAACTCTGGGCACCCGAACCCCCACAGCACAGCGCAGAGGCCCCTCACTGGATAAACAGCCTCCCGCTTGTTCCCCCTCCAACGCAGCTCCACCATATTGGAGAAGCAGCCTGAGGCAGGTCACGCCCACAGCAACTGCAGCACTAAACTCCATTAGCGGCCAGGCAAGATCAGTAGCCCCGTCTGCAGGCAGCTGCCCAGCACAAGCCGCTAGAGGCCGCTGTTCTCCCAGGAGAGGAAGGCCATAAACTGGCAAGAAGGGACTTTCTCTTACCCAGCACATGCGCCATCTCCCCACAAATATATCTACGCCATGAAAAGGCAGAAGAAATTGATAAAGACCAAGATCACTGAGGCAAACCCTGAGAAGGAGATAGACCTAACCAGTCTTCCTGAAAAAGAATTAAAAATAAAGCTCATAACCATGCTGATGGAGCTGCAGAGAAATATGCAAGAGCTAAGGGATGATGTCCGGAAGGAGATTACAGAAATGAAACAATCTCTGGAAGGATTTATAAATAGAATGGATAAGATGCAAGAGGCCATTGATGGAATAGAAACCAGAGAACAGGAA